TGGACCACTTTTGTTTGAGCCTACCAGCTCGGTCTCTTCGATTTCAAATTGCCATCTATCCATATAAACCTGAAATAAAAGGCACATTAGAAACAACCTCCTAAGAATCGCACTTGAACTCTTTCGCACCATTAGATGATAACTTGCTACTTCATATCTCATAACTCTCAGTTGTATAATACGTTGCACTTGAGAGTCAACAGGTAACAAATTCAAAAAACTATCCGAAGTAATCGAATGGCATTCATTTATCTCAGGTGAACAAGACCAGTTGAAGAGAGGTATTTTCCGTCAATGAATTGAATTTTCATGATGGAATTTAGAAGCTTGATAACATACGCCATTCCTCACCCATCATCAAGCAATGACCAAACAACAAGCCTGTGTGGAGCGTTCGATTGTTTTGAGGATCTTATGAAGGGGTTCATTTGCATATCCGCCACCCCATCGTAGACACCTCGCTAAATCATTGCCTGTGCCCAAAGGCAGGACAGCCACTGGCGGTCGTTTATCACCGTAGTCCATTTTATCTGCAGCCAGATCACTGTTCACTTCATAATCAACAAACTGGTGGCTTAATTTATAATGCTGATATTATGAGTCCAATTTTTTGCTTTTTATCACAAACGATAGAATGGTTTCAGCTCTCTTCCGTCTAACATAAATATGATCGAAAACTTTATAAGCTAATTTATAATTTCATCGGATCACAATCAAAGAGTATGCCACTGAAATTTCCGCAAATTGCATTTTAATTAGACGACTTTCGGTCATTCTGAATCTTTTTTTCACATATGAAAGCTTATATTTCAATAAACGATTATAAAAGTATTTCATTTCATAACTGATTCAGCGAAAAAAATGGTTGATGTGGAAGATACGGCGAGCAAAAGTGTTCAAATGCATTCACTGAAAAATCCCCCCATAAAATACATGAAATGTGAGGAAGACAAATGTGAATTTTAGCACTCGTGAAAGTGGTTGTCACTCAGAGGTGATGATTTGATATACGGATCAAAACTGACCCATTGCATCCAGTACCCATCCTACAGTACCATCTCCACCGCACACTAATACATTCGCATTAGCAATTGTTGAAAATAGCTGCAGTCTGAAAGTATTTCATGCTGTGATTCGGGTTTACAGCAGGCCGATGAATCCAATGAAAGGACCCCGTCGAAAACACGTTTGGACATAAATAATACGCCTGTGACTAACCCGGGTTCAGGTCCGTCCTTGGTGAGATCAAAAACTTGTCGCGGATTGAGCAAGTACTGAAATTTCCTATATATCCGTTCGCCTTGCTTTCCACCACTCTTCGGATTTATCAACACCAGCAGTGGCCTTGTATTGCTTGAAGTACCAACTACCTTGAATATCATACAAATTAATCCTTTTTTCTCATGTGGTGAAATCCGGTGTCACTCACAAATGCCTATTGTGATCGATAAGGCTTAGTGCAACGATTCACACAGAAGTTTGAAGGATCGATCGTTCGAGTGATGATTTATGCAACGAAACAAATTTTGTAATCATTCGTTCCACGTTAAATTGAACTATGAGATTTTTAGGAAATTTTCCGCATTCAACGTCAAATTTTGATTGATTACCCTAATGCGTCTGTCAACTTTTTTGACGACCAGTACTGTGCAATCAGTAAAAATGCAGAGTTATTTTTTACGTTCAACTCACGACCGAGTTCCAATCACAACAATAATACCCAACGGACCTGTAAATGATGACCAGTGGTACTGTTGAGGTGATTTTGGGATTTCTCCTCCAAGACAACAGGCACGATCTTATTCGGAGGCAAGATATGATACGATAAGGCNCCTAATTTGCACTCTGTAGGCCATTGTGCGAGGCACTTTTCATGTAACTGAAACCAGTAACAAAACAACTAACGATAAGATTCTTGCAAACGCATGTGAATCAAAATTTTAGATCGTTTAATCTTTGTACCGTTTTCTGCATTGCTGGACTTTAGAGATTACAAAAACAGTTTTTATCATGAATTACTCAGAAATAGATTTTTTGCAAACGAGGAACGCATCGACTAATGCTGGAGACGTGAGCAATTTTGTGAAACGGTAACAGTGAATGATTTAAATGAATTTTTGGAACAGTGACTTAAATTCTTGTTGAGTTTGAATATAATGATTTGTTGTTAGAACTGACCAAATTATGACACCAACGACAACGTTT